TCTCGTATAACTCCTTAGATTAAGTTCCATCCCAATCTGTAGAATTCGTCGTTCTTTCCCATTCGAAATTTGCCTAACCGTAACCTTCAAATGCAGGCATGGGGTTCGGCAGGAATGGCTGCATTTGTTGGCACGTCATTGATTTTGTGTATTCTAGCAAAATGGTTTTGATGCATGATAATGTCATTTCCTAAGCACTTGATTAATTCTTTTGTTTAAGACAACCGTAATTCGTTGAGTTTAAGTGTCCTAAAGTACTCGTGCATCACTTCACTATAATTGGACACTTCATTGTAAAGACTACTGCAGGACAAAGGCGCAGAAGCAGTATCAGTTGAGCGGGAGCGAATGCGGCGCGCGTCTGCCTATCCTCACCGTTTCAAATCCGGCGCCTCATGTGCTCTGCGGTTAATGCCACAGAGCCCCCAAAGATACTGCGCCTTTGTCGTGCAGAAACCTATAGACCATCTCCCTGCGCTCTGAATCTGTGAGACTCTTAATGTAGCGCGCTGATGGAAGTTGCCTTGTATAGTAAAATATGAAACACTTTATAAGTGCATGTATTGATATACTTCTGGCTTTCCATAAGCGTCTTCCAACGTCTGCACGCACAACGGAAAACAAAAAACAAATTTGTTGAACCAATCGAACGGTATACCAGCACAGGCAAAAATTCATTTGAAGCTCATACAAAGGGCAGGAAAGGAGGCATAAGTTATAATGTCAAATATTCTGTGTACATAAAACTGATAGATAATCAAACTGCTGTATAACATTTTTTAATTAGCATGATATTTGGTTTTTCAGTGTGACGGATGAGTCAACAGCAGAAGTGGACGTAAAAGCACAGCTTGAGAAGGATGATAAACTCAAAAGTGAACTGAAAAATGTAAGTCTGGCACTGCCTTTCAAAAGAAATACATTGTGATATCTGCGCTCCATCTCAAAGTTGTTGTGCTTTTATTAGAGAAAGATATACAATATCGCTCGCAGATCGTGCAAAATTTTCGTGCATGTCGGGGATTTCCGCGAAATTTCCGGAAAATCCGCGAACCTCGAAGGTTCGCGAAATTACGAAAATTTCTCTGATTTTTTGCATTATCGCCAAAACTTCCTTCACAACGCACGATTTCTGGACTGAAAGAAACGTTGTACTCTTCTCATCGAGGCCAATGTTTTGGTGTATCGCCTTTTGGTAGTTCTCGAGATACGAAGTTATATTTTAAAAGACGCATTTTTCTGCTTTACGGGGGGGGGGGGGCAGCAGCGTACCCAGGATTTCCGTTCGGGGGGGGGGGGGGCAAAATATTTTTAGTGATGAAAGTGCATGGCGTCAGCACGCACTCCGAAAAAATTTTCGGCATGCTTCCTAAAATTTCTGCGGGCCCATAAACCTCAAGCCCCCCGAGGAAAAATTTTATTAGGCTAAAATGAATTTTTGTAAAATTAAAAAAAATAGAGGAACACGAATCTACTTAACAAATAAAAGAGAGAACAAGCACATGGCGCATGTTGGCATCCGGTCAAACCGACCTCGACGCAAAACATCACTCTTTCTCTCTGGATTTTCAGACAAATCGCAAAAGTTACCTCCAATTGTTCTCCTAACGTAACCCGGGAATTTTGGTAAGGCGATACACAAAAACGATGCGCCTCGATGAGCTGAGTAGAACGCTTCTTCCAAATCCAGAATTCATACATTCTGAAGGAAGTTGTGGCGATGCTTCAAAAAATTTCGCGGATTTCCCGGAATATCGAGCAATTTCGCGGAAATCCGCAACAATTGCGAAATTTTGCACGTTCTGATTAGTATTGTATTGAAGCGTTTATAGTGAATGATTCAGGGTAAGTGTGGCAAGCTTAAAGGATGTCTGATTCGTGAATGTAGTAATGTCGTGCTATAACGAGGGCTCCTAAAAATCTACAGATAACGAGTAGTTTTGACGGCGTTTCGAAACTAGCATTTCGAATCATGACAAATCTAAAGGTTACTTCACTAAGTACATTTTCCGCAAGCTATCTTATGTTTCAGAAAACAAAAGAAGCAGATTATTTTGGATGTACATTCAATGGAAATGCAACAGTTTGTTGTTTTGGCGATAAACGTCCAAACAAAGCGAGAGGAGCCGAGCCAGAACTCTTGAAGTTGCTTGTCAGTCATTAATTTGGACAGCTAACGCTTATAAGCTCCTGCAGACACGTTTTAGCGCTCCCATCTCCATTCTATTATGCAGATTGTATTCAACCTTGAAATTGTGTCGAAGTGAAAACTATTGTAGTTTCAGTATGATTTATGTTTTATAAAGCACAATAAACTACTACAGATGAAAGAGATCACGTTAAATCTATTTCTACATCTCAGGGGGAGTTGGAAAAGCGGCGGTCAGCTGGAGATCGCTTTTCCGATAAAATAAAAAAATGTGGGAAGGACAGAATGCATACATCGTTACTGGAGGATTTATTGTAGTTTGTACAGCAATATATATTTGTGAGAGGTAAAATGTGGTCATCTCTACATGAGTCATTCTGTTGGGTAATCCCCACTACACCGGTGTCGTTCTTTCTTCATGAAAATGTAATCCATGGAGAGTGCGGCGAAAACAAGCCATTTGTTGTTTTCCTCCTGAAACCCATATCCAGACTTCCAGAGCAAATATTCCTCTTCTGGTGGCAGCCCGTTTTTAGCGTTGAAGTCGCTCACAGCAAAAGAAGTAGAAAGAAGTTGTTGGAAGGTGCTTGCTTCACGTCTACTGACATAGGTTGCTGACATCGGGAAGCAGCAATTGGTGATGCTGATGGCCTTCTGACGTGGCGGTCAAGAGTACTATGGCCAGTTGGATAGGACGGCAAGCAAATTGATGAGGTGAACCAATGGGTGGACGACAAAGCCATCGCCTCCAACAATGAAACTTTCTCACAATGATGAAGGTTTCATCAGTCAACTGTCGCACGTCCTTTTGGTCTTCGTTGCTTGCAGAGCGATGAGGTGCTATTTGATGTGCTCTACAGCGTCGAGATGAGTATCGATGTGCTGAGGTCGGTATTTGTTCTGACCTGGCGTTTTAGATAGAAGCATGGAGCGGTACCCATGACAATTCGTCCCAGGCGAGTTCTTTCTGTTCCGTGATGGTGCCTTAAGGAATCTGACATGGTCTTGTTGCCACCTGGCGCCGTGAGTGGGATCCGATGTGCAAAGTTTTTTTTTCTTCTGCTGTTCGGGTCACAGAACTTTCTCAGACAAGAACAGACTTACCAGATCGTGTTTTTGCCTTCCAAGGGTTATCGCCGTTGGTATTGCAGTAGAGACCGCCAACAATTCTTACCTGAAGCCAGAGGGAGGATCTGGTCCGCTAGCTACATCCGGCAGAGCCGAAATCGTCGAACTCCTTCACAGCTTGGGAAACCTAGCGAGATGCTTGGTTCGACATTCAGGGCCACCCCAACGTTGAAGCGGCGAACCATAGTGGGAGTACAAGAAAGTTAGAAAGAGAAAACCAAAAGCTACCAGTACTTGGATCACTAAGGATATGCAGTTGCGCCGACCAGGCAGACTTCTAAAATTAATGGGTGAAATAACCATTAGCAACTCCCTCATCCTCAGCTCAAGCTTGCGATTGTTGAGGGAAGCAGTACGATAGGGATGCCCTTAATTAAATGATATTCGATAGAAACGGTGCATTCTAAAGCGACAAAATCGCTCCAGAGAGCGGCTGCGGGTGGCCACGCCATCGACGTGCAAATATAAAAGTTACGAGCGACTGGAATCGAGAACATCGAAATATCGAGAATGTATATTTCAAAAAGAAATGCGAATTCTCAACATATTAGATACTAATAAGCTCGGTTTTCATCATCTTCGGTTTACCATTCTCACACCAGCCTGAGGGGTGTGGGAATGGTAATCTACAGTTTCTGGAGCGATTTCATCGCTTTGGACTTGGCCAGTGCTCAATCAAGGATTTCGCTATTCTAATGCGTCTCCTCACGAGAAACCTAGCGACTAAATTTGTGTGAACTCTAGCGCTTTCTGGCGCTCCTCCTCTTTGACAAGCTCCTTGGGTCACGTGTCCTTGCTAAATGCGTTGTTCATAGTTACCCGCTGGAATGGCGCCAGGCGTTCACCTGTTGAAATTTTTGCCGACCTATCTCGATTTTATGTCAACTATAGAACTGTATTTACTTGGTAGGTGCATTTCTGCGAGACCATCCCTCACCAAGGTTAAAGGCAGTGTCCAAGCAAAAAGGCGATTTCAAGATTTTGTGCTTATTTGGCCCTATTCGCTATGCTGAATCCGAAAATCAACACTAAAGTGCGCGAAAACGGCGAAAAAAGGCTCTAATGGGGAGGAAAATTGCAGGTGGGCGGGGCTGTTCACATAGTGGCGTCACACTCCCAGCTTCAGGAGCGATCTTCTCGCTTCCGCTAGTAGTCCTAACATCACCATCAGCCAACTGCGAAACGCATGACATAAAATTGGAACCGAGAAGATCGCTCCTAAAGCCTCGGAAAGTGACGTCACGGTGTGAACGACCCCGCACACATGCGATTTCCCTCCTGCTTGGGGCTTTTTTTGGCGTTTTCGCGCTCTCCGTTGTGGTTTATCGGATTCAGCATGGCGAATAGGTCCGGGTAAGCACAAAACTTCAAAATCGACATTTTGCTTGGACACTGCCTTTAACAGCAAAACTACTGCGGATCGCGGGTGCCTTGTAACCTTTGATTCAACTGGCTTGGCACCCTTAGGGCGGGGTTTTGTGATCTAATTGGGGCCGCTCGCGCCCGCGACGCACCTGCGTCTCTCTCGCTCGAGTGCTCTCTGATCATTACCTAGCCTTAATTAGGTCACGAAGCCCCGTCTTTGCCGATGCCAAGCCAGTTGAATCAAATGGTATATACCTCTCCCCTCTTACCCCCCCCCCCCCTCCCAACATCCATTGCTGTTGACTTGACTTCCAGAGATGTACTAGATCGCGTAGAAATTATTGAATACTAAAGCAACCGCACATAACCTATTCATTTCACTTCAAAAAACAAACTATTCAATGAATGGCAACGATGCATGCAGTAAAAACCTCAAGAAGTTGTTTATATAATATGTAAGGGCTCGATTTTCACTAGCTTTTATCTACTACAATATTTCGACCAGAGTATAATCAAGCACACAAGTCATGATATTCAATTACAAGAGAAAACAAAGTAGAATGTGCAGGAACCGGAAATATACAAAAATGCATTGACAATCGCTTTATGAGGCAGGAATCTTGGGGAGCCCAAACTCGTCCACTTCCAAGCCTTCGGCAACCTGTAGGGAAAACAAACCATTCAAAATATGAATTTCAAGAAGCTGGAAGCATGAGGTCATGAACTCACCCTAGAGCTTGTTGGTTTTGCGACTGGAACTCCCGGAGCATTCAACGCTTCATCCAAGTAGGCGGTATCGGTTTCGCCCTCAAGCTCATCGCCAAGCAATGCCAGCTCTGCTTCCAGATCGGCCTCGTCAATCTACATAACACCAAGATCAAAAAAAAAAGAAATAAAATCAAATTTAAGTTAGTTGAAAAACGCACGTCTGGCGTATCATATTGCCGGCTCATCGCTTCCTGGATCTCGTTGTTCAAATCCAACATGTCTTCCATTTGATCTTGAAGATCTTCAATCTAAAGCATAAAGGACGGATTGTATGCACTGATCAAGACATAAATTTAAAGCTATCTTTTCCCAAAACAGCCCGAAAATGGAGACCAAAAATAACATGCAAAGTATTCTTGCGTATTTATGACTTCGGGAAGCAACCCTTCCACAGAATCACAATAATAAAGAGCAAAACACAAACTGACCTTATCAATGTTAACTTTCTTATATTCCTTCTGCATGGTTTTCAATCCCGCTTGCATTGCAGCAAGGGTAACCTGACAATAGTGATGAATTAAAATGAAAAATGTAAGATCAAACAGAAGCGGCACTCACTTGGTTGTCTTTCATTCCTTGTAATGCGAAGTTACTCTGATCCATATTGAAAGCCTGTTGATCCAGCTGACCTTTTTGATTCTCATACATCCGCTTTTGTTTAAGAACCCTGTGGGATAAAATTTTGTAGAAACTTGTAAAGCGAATTCAGAATGACAAAACTAACCTCAAGGCTTTCTGCTTCAACATGTTCTTGCTAGGGCCCTCCCGCATTTTCGACATTTGATCGCGCAACTTGACAAGCTCACCATCCAACTTCTGTATCTTCTTCTCAATGCTTTCCCCTCGAGATTCGATGTTAGCTATCGCATTGTTGAGATCTGGTGGAGGCTCTTTCTTGGCGGTTCCGAAGATGCGCTTCATCTGTAAACAACAAATAAGTTTTACTGGATTCCAAAATTGCTTTACATGAATTTGTTCGGAAAGGAACTAACGACAGGACAGAAAATAAAAACTGTGCATCATGAGCTCTCGATAAGAAAGGATGGCATATTCAGGGAATATTGTGCAAAAACCTCGCTGTTATTGTTAGCTCAAGAAATTGGCAAAAAACACTATTACTTGATAAATCAAGCAAGAAACAAAAAAAAGACAAACGAAAAATATTATGTGATATTACCACCTGAGAACAGGACCACAAAAGGAGGCTAGTCAATCAATGCGAGTACCTAGTACAGCCCTCAACAGAGAAGATAAAGTGCAAGCACTACACTAGGACTGGAAAGCACCGATGACTCATAGATCTCGCTGCTTTGGCTTAAATTGAAGCTGGAAGTGCATCGTTACAAACGCCATACAGGAGTAGAGACAAAAAAGAAATTTTACTTATGCTTAGCAGGAAAAATTACGGTTTGTTGGCGTTCTCTCCATCGATCATTCCTGTCTCTCTATTTTTTCGCCCTAACAGTGTTACAATGATTATTCTTTCACCGTACAACGAAACTTCTAGAGCAAATGTCTATGTTTGCGAGTAAATCCGAAGAAAGGTTGGAAAAAGAGACCATGATAAAATAGTTTTAACACATTCACGACAATACGATCCACCGGTGGGTCGTACGTGCTCTGCCATTTCGGACAATACGACCCAACGGTGGGTCGTGTGCTTGCTGGAGATTTTGATTTTAGTTCACGGTGAAACTTTTTAGACAAGCCGAGTAAACTCCTGCATACACCCCCTAGAGTACTTCTCAAAAGATTAACACTTCAGACTACAGGGCCCATCAGTGACCTAAAAATATTCCGCAAACTCAATTTTGCAAAATATGCTCTGGTCCGAGATGGCAGTCAGCGAAAAATCGGCCCTGTCGTGAATGTGCTAATTTACTTGATTGAGCACATATTACAAACCTAGGAGAAGGTAATGATGAACCAAATTATTCTGCTATTGTTTACATCATCTTATTGCCTTAAGCGTCCTTTCTGAGCGATTATTCAATACAACGAGAATCGGCAAGAAATGCAGATAACGCAGAATGTTGTAACACGTTAATGTGAATGCGTCATATGTAATCATTCTATGCATCGAAGAGTGCATTGAAAATATTTCTAGGCCATAGTTGAGTCAGAAGAATTTAATCGTATCAAGCACTGTGAAAATGTCAAGGACTCGATTTTGACAACTCATGATGAACCTAGTGCAAACCATCCTTCATTCTTCCATCCTCGAAATATGCATGGTATTCCTCTGAGTCACAACATGCACCACAACTAGGTTTTTTCCACTTCTTTCATTTGTATTTGCTTTCAAAACGAGTGTCATCCACTATGAACAGAATGATCTTGGCTCTTTCAACTATTTATTACATTATTTATTATAAAAACAAAAAATTCAGAAATACTTCTCACATGCGTGTTTAAAAAACCTGAAGCTCCTTCTCATCGTGGATTATTTGCTTTTCTCAAATTTGTGAGATGCGCATCTATTTAACTTCACTAATTTACTTGCACGTAACTTGACTAATTTTCTAGCAAGTGATGACATCTATATCCAGAAAACGCTATAAAAGGGTGGATGTGATAGCAATTGTCATTTGATGACGTACAAGAATCGCCACATAACTTTGAAATTTCCCGCTGATACTAATTGTAAGAACTAGCAAAAATGAGAATTCTACGAATAGGTGACTAAAGAATAAGAAAATCAGAGATGGAATTCTGAATGATATACAAACCGGAAAACCAGAAACAAGACATGGAAATGGAATTTTGGACGATTTTACGTTTTTCTTGGGGAGTAAACCATGTTTTGCACACAACAGATTCAAAAGATCCAAAATTCTGAGACATGACCAAGAATCCCAACACTGTCATGAAATGGTCAACAGTCTACTGATGATAGACAAGTGCTCTTTCGGAGAGACTAAAATCATGTTTTCCCAATTCGGTACCGTCAAGCAATCGGACCGCTTTGGATACAGGCATCTCAAAATCAGCGATATTCCAAAATTAACGATACTGGCAAGAAAGACGTCAAGGACCCGTCATACTTCGCCGAAAAAAAGCCCAAAAGCGCCTAAAAAAGCCCTAACAACCCCAAAAACGCCAGAATCAGCCATAACGCTCCTGGAACTTTGAGAATTCAAACATCATTTTGACAGACGGCAGAAAAGAAGCAATATTATTAGGTTGCGAAATCAACACACATGCCTTAGCGCCAAAACAGGCCGGTAAGAAAAGGCGTCCGGCTCTTTTCTGGCGCTTTCGAACTTTTTTGGGTGCTTTTGCGCATTTTTGGGCTTTTTTCGCCGAAGTATGACGGGTCCCTCAAAGCGTAAAAGAAGACTTCTATGGGACGAATCATCTAGAACAACCTGCGCTGTACGGAAACTAATAAGAAAGTCGATGTTCCTCGTGAAACCAAAACGTTCTCTCATTTTAGAACGATGAAAAAAACAGAACCCTAAGTCGGTATCAGACAAGATGACGGACAAAGCGGACAACTGAACAAATCCACTGATATGTAGAAAATCAGCTATAGCCGCATGAGCGCAGAAAATTTCGCATATGAACGAATTCTACGGCCGAAAGCGAAAAGATAATATCAGCTGAGTCACTGACAATAAAAGTGCTGAAATGCTGGACCACAGCCAACATTTTCTGCGCGGGAACCGACGCTGGAATGGCTGGCGCTGCGCAGCGTGTCGCGAAGCGCCAGCGTTTGCTTTCGAACTCGCCCCGACAATATCGATGACGTAGGCAGTTGGTAGGTTGCCAAGACGTGAAAAGGCTGCTTAGATCGTTGTGAAAGTTGATCCAAACAAGGCTTTCTTTATCAAACCTTCTAGAATGGCGCGTATATGTGCCTCGAAGCCAACCCAGCTGTAAAAGTTACTTTTTTCGTCCTGAAGTGTCTGTTTTGCGGTATTTTCGTGCGTGTTCGTTTCTCGTCCTTTTTCATTTTTTCTTCTTATTCAGGCCTCGCATCCTTATCTCTTGGAGTTTGTACCTATTCATAGATGAGATCATAGAGTTTCTTCTACATACTTCGATTCAAGTTTACTCAAACTATGCCGGATACAGAAATTTCCCCATCTGCCACCGTTCCTTCCACGGATACGAAGGAATCGGACGCTTCAACAAAGGTGAGAATAATGTGTGTGTGGAGAGCTTGATTGCTCTAGAGTGATCGTCATACATTATGTGGGCGTTCGCCGTTCTTTTGACGTATCAATCTATTTCGAAATACTGCACAATGGTCTGCAGCCGCTTTTCGTTCGTTTGTTTCTTTTCGCTTCGTTTTCTGTCGATTTCTCAGCACTTGAGCATAGCTCTGGTTGTTTCTCATGTCAGAATGATCAGATATTTGAACAAATATCTCCTTAGAATTTTTAAGAATTTTTATAGTGTGGAAAATGTGCACATTAAAAAGTGGTGGCTAAAGTGGTGGATATTTTTCGCGCCAGTTTTTTCCCAGCTGTTTAGATTAGCAAATATTGTATCTGTTTATGTTTATTGAGATACGTCTCGGTTTCAGTGAGAGGTGTCATTTCTTTGAACAATCGTATGGCGACAAGAAATAACATATTTCAGAAAAAAACTGGTCTAAAATTTTAAATTCTCGGACGGTACCGTCCTCTTATTCCGTGATTTCGGGTTCTTTGCCACTTAGCTTTCGAATTTTTCTAGAATAGATTGGGATACTAGAAGAAACCAATCTCAGTTATATTAATTGTGGTTAGTATCAAAGTAATCTTGCTGCACTAGAAGAAATTGTCATTTGAAAAGTACGTAAGACCTTTTATCTCGAATTCAAGTGCATTTTGAGTTTAGCATGATTAATTTTTTGATATATATTCGCACAGATTATGATGAATCAAATCAGCCAACTTTCGTCTTCTCCATCATTTTCAACCAGCAAAAAGTTTTTTGCACCCTGTTTTCGCTGTACAAAAAGTCATCGATTTCACCCCGTTTTGATTACTTTTCCCGCTACGGCTATAAATAACTTTTGTTTACGGGCGTCCATGTTTTTCGCGGCCCCTCTTGCATATAGCTCGTTCAGGATAACGAAGCGGTCGATGCCGAGACCAAAGAAGGTGAGACCACTGAAGCTGACATGAAGGAGAAAAAAGATGAAAAGAAAGGAAATGGATTGATAGACAATATAGATATAAGTCGGGTACGTGCAATTTGTTCAGATTATTTTCAGCTTCACTTTGTATTTTTCGTTAGGCGATTGCATAGAAGAAGTTTGGTATTCTTTTCGCTAGTGCAATGCTAAAGTCAAATAAATATAATTTCAATGATACTTTATATTGCAAATGACGCAATTTAGGAGGCGCGAAATCGCGTAAAGTTGTATGTGCTGTGTGATCAACGGGTTTGGGATGACCGCGGTACGGGTCACGTGGCTTGCGTTCAAATACCTAATCAACAAGGTTTTGTCATTATTGTTAGGTTGGAATCGGCAACGAGTGGTCAAGGTAAAACTTTAATTTGTGCGGATAGATAGAGTATTCAGCGAAATTTTGCTTTAGATAAGAATGTGCTCGAATCAAAAATTCTCATGGATACCGTTTATCAAAAGCAGCAGGTGGGTGGTGTTTTATTGCTTACGCTGCACTTTACCATACAATATTAAATTATCTTACATATATAAATGCTCATGCACTATATGGTGCTCTTTGTGACTTATTCGTACTAGCTTCCTATCATCCTCAATGTTCTATTCAGATGTAGATTGGGTGAGGAATACGTTATTTTATTGTTTTGCCTTTTTGTAGGTTTCTTAAGTTTGCATGCAAAATGTTGTTAAACCGCTGCTCAGTAGCAGTTTCAAACTTAGTTTCTCACTTTTGATTGGGCCATCTTAATGTAATTCATCAACAAAAATAAGTACATTTTTTGGCACTTTCTCGTCGAGTATCGATATCAGAGAGGTTTCCATTTGAAACTTTGATTCAACACGGGTAGTTTTGATTTTTTCCTACTGTAAAAAGAAAATGGTCAAACATTCTTCCACCAGTATATTTTTGAATTCATCATGATTTTATCGTCTAAAGTTCCACGGCGTAGCGCTTCAAAATGCATTATATCAGTTTAATTATGGCATGTCCTTCCTGAATCGCTTATTCAAATTTTTCCATATCGAAAGTCATTTCCACCTTAGGATTACTTTCTACAATATCTGCGGTTATTTTGAATACTACTGTATCTTACGGTCAAAAATATTATTCCTTTCTTTACTCTATTGATTGTGCTTCTTTCTATATATAACATGTCAGCTATGTGTGAAAGTCTGTGTTTTGCACTTTATCAAAGGATTGACATAGCGATGAACTTTAAGTGCGCTACTTTACAGTAGTGTAGCTGCTCGAATTTTATCGCATTGCAGATATTGATTTGCTCTCTTGGAGCTGATGCACTGTTGCGCTTTTATTGTAAATTATTTCATTTGTAGGTCAGAATAGAGGTACACGGTAGAGAGGTAGAAATTTGCTTGAGAATTGATTTGATTTGGAACACTTTGAAATTAGCTTACTAGAATTAGCTCCTTGAATAGTCATTAAGTAGTTCCTGGTGTATTTTCATTGGAAGCCATTTGTTGATTGCCTGCTACCCTTGTTGTCTATGATGTCATTGTCTGCATCTTATATCCTCCGTTCTACTCATTTCTGATTCGCCAAAAGCTTCTTCCTCATTGGCGTGGTTCTCTGCCTGACTTTTCATCTTGGTTTTCAAAAATTCTTGGAAAAGTAATTTGAGAGTCTTTCCAATTAGGGTTGCTCTTTGATTTTCGATGATTTCCTTCATTTTGGCTGTTGAGGTAAACTATTTGATTTTTATACGACTGTTTTCCTACAAAGCATTGGGGATAGCTTGTAAGTTTTGATCCTTGGAAATATAGATAATCTCACTTTCTCAAGGTTTTTTTGGATTTCCGGCGCGAAAAGGTGCCTGACAAGCACTTTTACCAGTCACGCGCCCTTTTCTTTTCAGTTCTCTTACAAAGTAGTCATTGTGGGTGGTTCTGACAAGTTAGCGCTATTCTGAGGTTGCGAAGCTCTCGCTTGAGTCGAATGATTGAAAGATCGCTCAGTGTTCGCGCCATGCATCGCTGAAAGATCCCCTAGTGAAAAGATTGTTCTTTCGTAGCAGTTTCCTTCGCGTTCATCGATGTGGTTCGTTTCGATCGCTGCGACTCCTCTCTGTATGTGTGTGGTTGGTGTGCCTGCCCAGTTACCATTGGTTTTGAGTTGAAAGTGCGGACACTAGAGGGCGCAATGTTTTTACGTTGACGTCAGGTTTGGTCCGCAGCGGACTGGTTCACGAATGACTTCAGTGCCAGAATGATTGGTGTTTCGTGCTGCTAGTGAAGCAACTCTGTTTTAGTCTCTGTAGTTCTCTAACTATACAATCTGGGAGTTCTTTGTGATCAATTTTGTTTGACTTGTTTTAGTAACATATATTTTTGGAACATCTATGTTCAATGGCTCAGTTGTCATTTATATTTTGAAATTATGAATTATGTTTGACATCTTTTTATAATCTGTTTTTCTAAAAGTGAGGATGATTTTTTTTTCAGTTCTTAAAATTTGTGCCGTTATGAGTGGGACTTTATCCTCTTCAACCAGGTTTGGGTTCTCAGTCCCATTTATCTTCCTATCTTATCGACGTCTTTTCCAAATGTTTATTTTCGCCCTTTTTTCCCCTTTCAAAACGCTAGCGAAAACTGCACTCTATACACTCTTTGGCTTGAGTATCTCCAAGTCTTCGTCGTTTTTTTTCTTAATGCGTGAAGTGCGCTGCCTGTCTATTGATTATGTTCTCAGTGTTGTCGCTAACAGGCATCACATACACTTCTTACACGTGATGAAAAGAGATGTCATAGTGATTGTTGCCGGACTCTTCACGTTTTACAATCTATGGTTTGGTGTAGGTTGGTGTAGGTACGGTAATTAGTGTGGTCAAATGTTTCGTAGTTTGAATTGCTGGGGGTGATTCTCAAATGGAAGTTCGAAGTAATATAGGAAGGGCTATGATGGTTAAGGTGGAGACTACTAGTTTGAATTTTCTTCCTTTTTTTTACATTTTGGACCAACAATATTCTTGCAATTTTTACACTTTTTCGTATTACATCTTGGAATCTATGGTTTTCGCGAAATTTCAAAAGTTCATTATAATGCTAAGATGGCAGTTGCATTAAGACCGCCACTAAGTGCATCAGTTTTCTTATAATCGATGAATCTACTATTTCCTATTTTCCCTTTTTGCAGTCTTATTTCGATAATTTATTACAATTTTCTTGAAAATTTTCTTGTTTAGTCTCCTTGATTTTTTCAGATCTGTAGCTATTTTTCATGGATTTGTATCTGTTAATGTGAATAGAAAAGAAATAAAGTCTTTTCTAATTCAACTAAATCAGAAAGAATAAACAGTTAAGTAGAATTTTCTTTTTTGAATTTATAGTTTCGATTAGCTTTCCTTTGAATGAGGGGGTGTAAATTTTGCTATTGTTTCGTATCCGGAATTAGCAAGTCTGTTTTTTCTAGTCGCCCACATAAGCGGTAATTTGTAGTATGACTGCATATTGAAAGCAGTGTTTGTCTGTAGATATGTTTACTTTAGCCTCTCTCACCCCCGCATTTTGTGCACATAGTAGTTGTGTGTGTGTTCTAATCTGACATTGCTGCGCTTGTGCAAAATGACTAGTTTGCTAATTCCACGCTCATTAATCCGAGCCTATGGTGAGACGTATGGGCCGGTTGCCAGGCGACTCATGATCTCATCCTTTATTTCTTCCTGAGTTCTTACACACTTGCACGTAGGTTGCATTCTTCCATCTGTCTCGGTAACAGAGGGTAGGGTATACTGCTGTGTAGTTTCCAGTTATCCCCTCTCTTCCATGGTCAATAACATTAGTGACGTCATGACGTTTGGTAATTACTTTATGGCGCTCGCTCTCTGTGAAAAGTGCATGGCGTCGTTTTCTTTACGCGTGTCTCAGTGGGAGGTTTTTGGGGGGGGGGGGGGAAGCTGGTTGCTATCTGACTTATACCCTTGTGATAGTTATCGATCGATTCGATTAGTGAAATACGCAATTGAGGACTTTCTTCGCACATTTGAGCTTGCTTATCTTATGAAATGCGTTTTGTTGATCTTGCTATTGGTGATAAGAGCGATTGTTCATGTTCGGACAACTTCTTGTCAATCATTATCCATTTCTTCTCGTCATATCTTAGTCTACTAGTATTTTTTGTATCTGTTTATGTCTATACACTAAGGTCAACAAAATTTGATAAAAGCAAGAACACGTAAGCAATATGAACAAACTGACACATACATATGAGTCATTTTCTTGTATTTCTATTTTTTTTCAAAGAAGAGGAATTGGAAAAATAAACAAATTGCTCTCAGTTTCTTTAGAAGTTTTTTTCTGTTCTCTTGCCCTTCTGAGAGTCGATTTTGGTTTTGATCCGCATAGTCACCTACTTCAACATCAGTTATGTTTTTTTCTACTACAAAATGCTTTTTTCGTTTTTGCTTTCCATTCTCAATTGTTTTGAGGAGCTTTCATAGTTGTAATTTTCATACACATTGATAATAGATAACACTGAAAATTAAAGAGATCGTACTGTCACCAAAGCAAAGAAATTTTGGAATTGCTCATTGTTTGATTGTCTTTTCGTTAAAGAATGATGTCATATGTGCATAGTCTCAGCGTCTCAATTCATCTCTGCTTCTCCAGGTAGTGTCGAATGCTTGATCTTGCATTCGTTCTTTTCACTAGTCCTGGTGTCGTGCCAGCTAGCAGTACACTCTAGTAACAGTTGTGGCTCTATAGTGAGCTTAGAAAGAACTTTAGGAACCCCATCGATTGCAAAAATGCTCGAGTAGTTGATTTAAATGAGTTATTTTTCGAAATATAGATATATACTGAGGAATGAACCTCTACCTCTATCTGTTTAGGCTTTTCTTTAGCCGCAGTCTCACATTTGAAATGGCGTCAGTATATTCTTACACTCGATAGTGGGTGAGAGTAGTTGAGCTCTTCTAAAAACGCGTTACACTACTTCATTGGTCGCAATTGCTCGTGTTGCTATCCGTAAGAAACTTCGCTTTCGAAGGGAATTATTGGCCTTTCCTTGACTCGTAGTGGAGAATACTGGCGGCGCGCCAGTTTTTGCCACCAATGCGCCTAGTTCGTCTGGTTATTGTCGTGACGACGCCTGAAACGTGATGCATTACAATTTCTGTTTGAGGAAAACGCGATCGAATTGTGGGTATGGGATGCGTTTATGTTGCAGGATGGGGTAACCCAGTATTAGAAAGCTTCATAAGTTTGTAGCTCTGTTAATTAGCTTTTTCTATTGTCTATATCTTGTTTAGGAATTTTCTTCTATCCTAGAAATATTTTATATAGGATCTATGGGTTTCATCTAAAAATGCCTCACCTATTATATTTTGCTTCATTTATCCATTAAAAGCATGATTTGGTTTCATCTCATTTTTTCTTTAGAAAAAACTAGCTTGCCTGTCCTACCTGCTATAACATTAATTTCTCCCGATTTTTTTGGACCAAGTTTTTATAGTCACTATGATTGACATCATTAAGTTTAATGATCGGTTTTTAGGAAACCCTGATTGTGTGGTCAGAATCCGACACATGCGACCTGGCGCTCAGCTTCCAGGAAAAGTCAGGTTGTGAAGAGATCTGGGCTAAGATTTGTGAAGTCCAAGGACGTGACCCTGGAGATGCGGTACGTTTCGCTTTCATCCAAGCATTCGACAATTTTTGATGGCGCCTTCCAAAGCATTCATTATAGGATGGCGGCTACGATGAGATGGATGACGGCGAGTTGAGCGAAGGCTCCTCGAATGCATTGGCCGGTGGAGGTGCTGCTGGTCGTGTCGTCATTCCACCGATTGAAGTTGGTCGTTTGGCCGAAGTAGACACAATGATTCAAAATCATCTTGCTACGCAAGTGTTGCGAGAGAAAATGGCCAACGCGATCGAGTCAGAAGGGTAAGAAGTTTCCCTTTTGAATTCCAGTTATCGTGGCTGACGTGTTATTTGCAGAGTTTTGCCGAAATTGGTCGATGTTTTTCATATGTGTGAAGATATAGAACATAAGGATGGGCTTCGTACATTATATTCTATTGCAAAAAATCTATTCATGTTGAATAGAAATAGCCTTAATGAGGTAAGTGTTGAATTCGTTATACATTCGCTTCCCACTGTTCTCTTTTTTTTTTGTTCTTTCTTTTGAATTTTTCTGAATTGGGATTTCCAAATTTATTTTCTTCGGAATAACGTGTTCATTATATCTTTTGGCTTCGCTTTAGTTAAGAATTTCTTGACCTTGAATTTGTTGTCTTGGCCAGAGAGACGTTCCCTTTGTTATAAGGTTTTTTTAAGAAACTTCTTTTTCTATCCAATGTATATTTTTCAGACACTGCTGAGTGATAAATATCTCAAAGACCTCATTGGTATGCTAGAATATGATCCAGCCCATGAAGCGCCTCGTAAACATCGAGAATTTCTTTATGAGAAGGCAAAATTCCGTGAAGTGCTGCCCATTGCTAACGAGGAACTCAAGTGAGCGCATCTCCTTCTTTCTTCATTCCTCTTCGTTTCATCGATGTCTATGGTTCTGAATTCAGGGAGAAAATTCATCAAACTTATCGAGTCCAGTACTTGCAAGATGTTTGCCTACCTGCTCCATCACTCTTTGAAGAAAATCTCCTCTCCGTTTTGAATAGTTATCTGTTTTTCAACAGAATTGATATAGTCAATATGCTACAGGTTTGTTTCGCAAGGCATGTAATGTATACACTGCTTAACTAATATGTTTTAGAAGGATAAACGGTTGATGAAAGAACTTTTTGATCAACTTCGAGATCCCGAGACAACTGTTGCGAGGCGGAGAGATCTGGCATTTTTCCTCAAAGAGTTCATCACGCTTAGCCAGGGTTTGCCACCGAATGGAGCGCAAAGCAAAGATAACTTCTTTAAGGTAAGTGTTTATCTTTGAAGCGTTCTTGTTTAGAAAATGTGCTTATTTTTAGAACTTGCAAGCCAATGATGTTCTGGGAACGATTGAGCCTTGTATCAAGTCTCCTGATCCCGATACTCGAACCACAATTGTTGATATGCTTGCTCTTCTTGTCGATCACAGCCCACAACTTATACGAGATTACCTCCTTAGGCAAGCAAAGGACAAGAGTGATGTAAGTTTATCCACCTTTATTTGCCGTTATACGTGTCGCATACTGCGCTTTCTAGGATGAAGTCCTCTTGAATCGTCTCTTGGTCCATATGCAGACTGATCGCGATGCGGAGTTAACCTCTGGTAGCCAGGTCTCACAGGTAGGACTTTTCAATATTTTTTCGTGCCGTTTTCGTGATCTTTTGACTTCCTCGCTTTTATCTCCTATTTCACAGGTGCTTCGGACATTGCTCGATCCCGATAATATGGTATCCATGCAAAAGTCCGATAGATCTGAATTTTTGAGTTTGTTCTATCAAAGGTCCATTTATACGCTTGTTAGGCCAATGATGGAGAACGTGAAGGGTGGAACGATCAAGCGTGGTGAGTGGTTCTCTTTTCAACATCATAAAATTTCCTCAATTTGTGAAGATCTTGATTTTTTTCCTTCTTTTAAATTTTTCCTTCCTAATGCATACGATAGAATGCAATAATGCTCGAGAATTTGTGGGTAGTATTATTTTTCTATCTAAAATATCATAATTACTACTTTAGATGATTACTGTATGGCGAACCGTCAATCCCTAGTCGTTCGGTTGCTTTGCTTTTGTATCGAGCACCACTCCTTTTCAATGAGGCAGCACTGCATTTCGAATGACCTGCTCAACAAGGTATTAGTCCTCCTCCAAAGCAAGCATCACTTCTTGGCTCTAGGTGAGTACATGCTATTTCTAGCCTTGGTTCTTGTGGTCAAGCAACTTTTTTGTTTTTAGGGGCCCTGAAGATGCTACGTACTGTGCTAGCTGTCAAGGATGACTTCTACAATCGTTATATAGTGAGAGAGAAAGTTCTTGACCGAGTAGTAGAGTGTTTTGTACGTAATGGGCCTAAGTACAACTTGTTGAACTCGGCGATGCTTGAACTCTTCGATTATATTCGATCGGTAAGGTTTACACTGGTCGTTAGTACTGGTTTTGATTTGTGAGACGAAGGCATTGATTATAGGAGGACATAAAACCACTGGTAAAGTACACTGTCGAGAATCACATGGCTGCTTTCGAAGATGTCACTTATGTGAAATTGTTCTCTGAGTTGAAGATTCGGTACGAACAACAACGTGATCGTGAAAAAGCTGCGAACGCGGTGAAAGATGAACGTGTGCCGAGTCCGGCTGCGTTCGCAAAGGAGAGACAGGTAAGGGGAAAAATAGTTTTCCGTGTAAGTGGACATTCATTGATTATCTTTTCTTCTCAGGAAGAACAATGGTTCGATGGCGATGAAGATGAAACGGAAGTCAAGAAAGAAGCAGCAGAAAAGAAAGAAGCTAAACGAGATGATACGCCAAGAAAAACTGGCATCGAGCCAATGTTCCCATCAGTACTCAAGCGAAAGAACGCTTTCGATGAGGATGATGGCGCGGTGTTCAGCGGCCAACCAACCACTCCTCTAGCACCTGTTAATGCAGTGTCTGAAAAGAAGATCGTGATCAAGGTGAGCTTCAAGATTCTGGGAGAGCAAAAAACGTGTACAACTGGATGCGATTTTTCTAGATGAATGACCGATCGCGGACGCCATCCCCTTCTGGATCTCCTTGCTCATCCACCTCCGTGTCACCAACTCCTCAAGCTCGCGATGATGAAGTGTCGTCTTCGCAGAATCATAGCAAGGAGAACAGTCCCTCAATGAGCATCAAGGTGAGTGTCTCTGTGTATTAGTCTGCTATCTTTACTGTTTTTTGCTGCGTCGATTTTTTGCACAGCGTTCATATTTGCATATTTTCGCGATATCACTATATTTCAATATATACATTGTTCGACTCTCGATGAAAGGGATTCTAATAATGTCTTTTTGATTGAACCACACACGAGATTATTGACTCGTTTTATTGACTTCACCGCTAACGTTTCGGCAATCGCCTTCGTCGGAGCTCTTTTGTGTACATTGGTGAACTACTGGAGAGCAGGAGCTGGACTTGACTTGAGCCTAAGTTTTACTCTCCACTTGCGCACCTTGGCAAGGGCTCTGACGAAGGCGATTGCCGGCATCTTCATATTTATTACTCCTTTCTCAGAAACACTGTCTATGATAAAACCATAGTCATTATCTTCTTTGTATAATCTTAATTTTTTGTTGCTTTCAAAATAGCTTTCATTTTTTTTCATCAGTCTGATTTATTCTATAGGTACTTTTTCAACGAAACTAGGACATTTAAATGATTGGTAGGCGCCCTCATTTTTCAAACTCATCCCCGTTTTCTTCGTAGAAGCTTTAGTCCTCTTTGTCATGTTACCATGTTTATTGAATTCTTTGATAATCTTATTAGGGAGAGTTATGTATTAGTTGACGGTTACGGTAACGGTTAACCCGAAGGTTTGTCCGTGCCATTTTCAAAAATTCGTAAGTTCACACCTTCTTAAAGAATTGTGTAATCTCAACTTCGTTTGAAATACAAGCCGTTTCAAGTTCGCTTTACAACAGTCAAAGACTTTGAAAATGCGACCTTGCACATATAGAAGTCGTCGGAGAAAATTACTCAAATTTTCATTTTTCTGTTTGCCAAAAATCTGAAATTTGCTAAAAATTGGAACTTAACCATCTGAGTTAGAGTTGATTGAATGAGCTTCTCCATGAAAAGTTATGATTTTTGAACAAGAATTACAAAAGTGTAGAAATAGATAATAATAGGAAGGTTCATAAAACTCGTAATAACAACTGCTTTGATTTTTAGTACAAGTTCTGATTTTTGACAACACACACACAGGAGAATTTTCAGTATTTTTCTATAGCTTCTAACTCTGCAGCGTTTGCTTGTTGAAAGTGAAAGCTTTTTCAAATTCTATTGTAAAACGCATGGTTTCCTCTTCTGCATAAAGTTTAAACTGCATTTTCGCTAAGAAATTGGGAATTTTCTAGAAATGGTCCGGACAAATTTTTGAACCGACCTAATTTTGCATTTCGTTTGCTCATAATTCTATTTTTTTAGTCCCTTGTCGACTACGACGAATCCGATTCCGACGAAGATGAAAATAGTGCGCCCAACGACGCACTACCATCTTCTTCAACCGGAAGTCCAGTCCCGGCACAGCTCGGTTCCACTACCGAGACCGACGGCAGTGCCGGAGCGGAAACAACGAAAATCGCCCCAGCTCCACCATCTGGTGACCTTTCCCCTTGTGATGACGATGTCTCATCCACAAGTGGTGAAGAGGAAACCACTGCTGGTGGAGATATGTTCGTACGACGAAAACGACCGTCAAATAGCGATTTCGACGAGGATTTGGCTAAGCGTAGTCGTGCCTCCCCAACGACAGAAACCTAACCTCACAAAGAGACTGCCGTTTGATTCATAGAACTCATAGGTGGCTAAACAACCACCATACTCGTTGTTGCTGATCGTTAACAGATGTATGTGATATGTGGATCTGAAATTCTTTTCTTCCTCCCTTTTTAGGATGCACTTTTGTAAATAGGTCTGCTGTCAAAAGCTCAAGTTGATGCTTCGAGTGCGTTTTCCTACACCCAAAATCACACATCCCCGGTTGGTTGCATTTTTTGGCATAGTTTGTGCTTGTAAGTTTGTCGGGTACATATTGAGAACGAAGTTTTATCCATTTTTTTGATTATTTCTATGCAAATCTTTTTTTTGCAAATTCAAGCCCAATTTTGTGTTTCTCGAGGTTGACTGATTGTTCAGTCCCTCTTTTGCTTTGGTAACCTTAACCATTGATGGGCAGAGGAACGAATACCGCCGTCAGGCGCCGCCTTCGTGGACTGCTGGCCCTTTCGCGTATATGACGGCATGTCGTATGAGGAACAGTAGCTCCTAACGGCGGTATCTGCTTTTCTACCCCCACTCATAGGTCTCAATGCTCAGTTTGAAATGGCAAGCTTCGTTCTTGATATGTGTCAAACTTTGCAGAAGCTGAAATAGTCTTCGAAATTAAGAAGAAATGTGCACTGTGATCTGTTCTTTTCCATTTGGGTACATATTAGCAGCTGTTAGTGTGTTTTAGAAAATTTGGGCAACCCGCGCACATCCCACTTCCTGTTCGTTTTCGTTCATTACCTGCCCATTGGCGACGCGCATATATGAATCGCCTCGAATGTTCTCAGCTCGGTTCTCTCAATGATCACCATAAAAAAGTCGTTTGAGGCTTGAAGACCTCATTATTTCTGCGTCTGTTTGATTGAAGATTTAGCGTTCAACCCTCTTTTAGTTATTCCCATCGCCTTGTATGTTCGGCTAATCAGCACGCGTGGCACATACAGTTATGCATACGATGATATGTGTGTTTGACTGAATTGGCAACGCGTTCTTCTTTCTACCTTTCATGATTTCACAATTGTGTGTATGAAAATGCGATTTTATGAAATTGCACCGCTGCGCGATGTGTATTGATTAGCGATGTTGTTTATAATAAGCATTTATTTATTATCTCTAATTGTTTCTTCTTGTAATTGTGGTGCAGAGTTAGTGTATCCACATTCTTCGTTGGGAACAACAATAAAACTTATAGATATGTTTGGTTGTTCGCATGTTAACTCGGAAGGATCTATTCTCTGCTAATAAATGAGTCAAAGCTGACCACCACTATGGCCAGAATCTTTTTGTGAGATTGGAAGAAAAGCGGATATTTAGTAATCAAATAATTTTTATCATTCAGAGAACACCACGGTATTGAGACATTGCGTTGTAAACATAATTGAGGGAATCGTCTCCATCCAAAACTTCCCAGAAATTCCCCACTTACCCATATACCTGACACATTAGACATTCAAATATACACTTTCCATGTTTCTTCCATGGATGAAATGAAGAAGGAAAATTATGGTGAAGTGACAAACTCAGCCCCTAGTGGTCCTGTGTTCCTCTCATACACGTAATCACGGGGTGTCCTAAAAGTTTTTAAGCACATACTATCTCAGCTAAAACTTCAGCGAGGCAACATAGACACATAGAAATTTTATAAACAGCATTTAAACTGGCCAAAACAACAGGGTAAACTGGTAGTTTGAATAATCCTCCAATGGGGTTTGGAAAGGGCTGAAACTAGCGTAACGCACCCTTCGTGACAGAGGGGAAGTTGATGTTGAAATGTCTTACGGTGAAGGTATACAGCTTTAGCTAACTCGCTTTAGATAGTCTAAATCTTGGTAGGGGTTAGCGCAGGTCTTGCTTTACAAGACCGATCGTAAAGAAAATTCGAGGGGTTCAGAGAAGTTATCAAATCAAGGAAGTTTACGAATTATAATAGATCTCTAAGATTTTGCAAAACGGTCAAAATGTTGCCGTCACCAGAGGACATCGAAAAAACAGCAATTATGGATTGAATGGGGCAACGTCCAAGCAATCTGGTGGAAATTGCGAGCATTACAGCTAAATCACCGACTTACAAGGGAAGCTTGTTTGGTCGAAGTGGCCTTTCTAAATGTGATGTATACCATATCGAAGGGCATAAAACGCTGACTCCAAATCTGCCTTCCTTATCTGCAGAGCGTTTATGCACGAGAAGTTATGAGTTGCTAAAATCTTACTGCCCTCAAATAATGCAATCAAGTGTGATTAATTTTTTGCTTGAGAGTATTTCTTAAATAAAGTGCTCTGATGACTATTACCGCTCTAAAGAGGTAGAAAAAGTATCACGGCTATTTTCGTCCCACTTGTACATTCAATTTTTTATCCAATATGCGCTCATAATTCCTCGTCCATAGACGTTCTGCAGATAAGGAAGGTAAGTTTGGAATCAGCAATTTATGTTCTGTAGTATGGTATACATCCCATCTGAAAAGGCCACTTCGACTAAACACGCATTCCTTGTTAGACTATTTTAGTATTATAGTTTCCATCCTTTTTGAGTCAAGTTTCCAAAAACTTCTTATCGATGGCAGAACACAGTATATGCCTTGATCCTTCGAGAATGAACAAAGCCCGGTATTTTGTTTTATACAGTCAGTAGTAAAGCTAGCTTTGACATTATGAAACTTGAAAACCAACGAAAGCTATCAAGACGAACGGGTACAGTCTGCTCCAATCGGGATCAGGTCGAAGCGTCTTCGTGAATTTGCGCGCTCGCAGCGTTAGCGGTCTGCGCTGCATATGCGCGCTGTCAGAGGGAGCCAAAGGATTGAAGAGAGAGCAGAGAAGGCCTTGGGCGTGACCGCGAAACCCTAGCGACGCGGACTCCTGCCATGTCAATTTTGGCCTGGTTAGAATTGGGGCAGACCGTATCGTCGATTCGTTGACAACACGGACTGCTTAAGCGCTGCGGGCCACGCGCGGCGCGGCTGAAATGTTGCGAGAGCACGACTTGTACAATGGCGAATTGCTTTTGGGGCAAGGATTTTACCTTGCGGCGCGTGCTCCGCAGTGATGCCCAATTTGTGAACAACGAATCTACTATACTTAAGTCTGAAGAGTGAGCGCAAAGATTGGCTTGACATCAAGTCGTAGTATCGTTGCGTCAGAAAATATTACTTGAGGATGCATGACGCCAACAGGATAATTTTCTGGGGTAATACTTACAGTTTTGCGTAGAACTCATATGCAAAATTTGGCTTGAAAACGAAAGTACCAATGAAGTCACTGCTTTGCAAAGTTGGGTTTAAAGGCACCGTCCACCCAAAATTTCGACCTCAATGTTTTTGCCGTTCCAGGGCCTTCACCCCTGATTCCGAATATCAAGTCGGAAATCCGCGAAAACCAGGTAAAACCCCCGTTTCAGAACCCTCAGAGCGATTCCATTGGAACGGTGATTGGATGGGCGGGACGAACATTACGCCCACCCGAAAGGGGAGGAGCCAACGTAGCGAACCTGTCATCCGAGCGATTTTCGAAGCAATTTTCTCGCTTCGGAAGCAACTTTTGCCAACGCGAGTTGGATAAGTATACAGTTGGGGGCCCCACTACTGTTAGGCACCAAAATCTCATCGACCGCATTCTGGGTGGACGCTGCCTTTAAAGAATTTGGAACGCCTCTTATATCGTTCATACATTCAGGAGTATGAATATAGATTTGTACCCTTGCTATAGTTGCCAAAAAATGCTGATTTTTCATTTTCGGAGGAAAATGTAAGACAAACCCAGCAAAATGTAAATAAAATTCGAAAACTTCTGTTGAGTGAGAACAATGTTTTTTCAGTGACCTCTACAATGGCTTATGGGGGACAACGAGAATTTGAAAAAAGAAATTGAAAACTGGGATGGCTTGAATTGAGGTATGCTGCAGGATAGGAAGAAGCTTGAACCAGCTGTATTTCAAAATTTTGTTTCGCCTTGGGTAGTTCCTGTGTCACTCAAATGCAACACATATGTTACGTCAAGAAATGTTGAAGGTCTTCCATGAATGCTTTTATTTATTCACTCAGACAGTCGAAGGGATGCCTCCGGCTAACAAATGGCGCGAGTCTGCCACTTCGCGCTTTGGAGCGCTCCGGAGCCCTGCCATTTCACGCATTTTGGTGCTTCGGGGCTCTCCCAAAAGTGGCGCTCCTCCGGAGCAGAGATTTGCGTGTTCCGGAGAAGAGTCCCATTCGTTCATCGTGACGTCACCGTGACGTCACAAGCAGGCAAACGAATGTGTACTGCTCATATTAAGTTACAAATGACTCGACGATAAACAACTTTATTATGCATGTAGCGTCTGTCTCTTTCTTTTTGTTTATCTTCCCAGCCTCCGGTTTTCAAACTGACTCAAAGTCTGAACTTTGCATTAAATGAGGCGTCTTCCTTTCCCTACCTCTAATGATTTCGGCTTACCCTCTGCGCTTGTCACATTAACCTTCATAAAAAGGGGGCCTTAAAAAGCAATTCGAAGATAATGAGGAGCAACCAGTCACTCCTTTGTGAAGAAAATGTGCCATAAAGGGGGTCTGATGGATAGCTTGAATGTTTGCTTTGAATTAGTGTGGCGATTCATTGGGCTCCAAGCACCTAGATACCGAGGCTTAGTGCTCGTCAACGTGCCTCTCCTACTGCGTACCTAACGCGCGACTAACACTTCATAAATTGAGTTGTATTCATCCTAATGAAACCATGCTACAGTTAAAGGAAACAAAGTACTCAACTATCAAACCATAACTACTTTTATCTATACATAATCGAATAATTCTGGGACGAGCGCCCGCTACCCATGTATGACTATAACTTATAATCAAATCATATGGTGCGCGAGGAGTCACACAACAAATCCAAAGCGCGGCGCCAAGGATCAAGATGAGGCAAGTCTGTCCTTGCTGCTCTCTCAGCTTTCAAATTCAACCTTGTTTTCGATTATGGTTCAGCTTTGAGAAAGCTCGGCTAGAACTTGCAAACTATCCAATCCGAAACATCGTCTAATTCGAGAGACGTCTTTCGTAAGGAACGGGAGCATTACAGCTGTGATTAATTTCGGAAATAGAACTCAAGATAATAACGAGAAGGCAACAAGGCATTGGAACTGAGGTGCCGCCGCCATATATGGCCTCCGACCTGGCAGCAACGGGTGAGCAAAGGAGAGGTCTGGAGACGGTTTCGACAGCACAGTTACTAATTACCACGTAATCGTTGCCGGATAGCGCGGCGACAGATGCTCTTGCCTTTTGCTTACAAGGGAAGGATGGTCAGTCGGGGTGGCCTTTTGCGTGTTATGAGCGTTTAAAGGAGCAAAAAATGAATGTTTTTCTGGGATAAAAACGGCTGCTACAATTTTCCCAGCGCGTGAATGAGAAAGCCGGAGTGCGGTATATTTCACCTAAAAATATTGATTTTATGAAGTACTACTAAAATCACCACTTGCCCACTTAAGCCTAGGAGAAATGTTACTATTTTTATATTATTTGCACATTCAGTTTTTCTCCAATAAAAGCCCATAACGTCTCGTGCAGGAACGCGCCGCAGATAAGGAAGACAGATTTGGAATCAGCGTTTTCTGCACTCCAACATTGTATACAAACCATCTTAAAAGGCCACTTCGACCAGTCATCCTTCCCTTGTTAGAGGAGCGCCTCGTATAGCGAAACGCGACAATTAGTATGGAGTAAGCAAATACTGTAGTATTGTATGCCAGTTGTGCATCACACTTAGTATCTGCCTTCCCTTGAAATTTTTTTTCACAACATTACTATAGAGCTTGTTACGTGTTAAATAATTGCCACAGGTCTCTGTGCTACCTCTATCTTGACAAAATTCAGTCTGATCTCTATTTGATTTTTTAAGGCACGATTTTTCATGATCTGTTATTTTCCGTCGCTAAAATAATCGCCGCAC